ACCGTCCTGCCCCTTCCAAAGCGGCCGGTGCCCACACTCCACCTGAGTAACTACACAAGGCAACCTTGCAGCTTCAGAGTCCTGCCTCCCCCTGCTGCTCCCCCTCCTTTCCGATCGGGAATTTCCCTGAGCAGACGAATGAGCGAGAGATGGGCCCCTCGCGCCTCCATTATGGGGTTGGCGCCAGAGTTTGTGTTTCCTTCCGCAAACGGGGCCACAAGCCCCCCTCCGTTGCAAGAGAGTGTGAATGGCACGGCACTGACTAAAAAACGAGGACGTCTGAGGACTCCCAAACCTGTTGCGTGGAGGAAGGGCCGTCCTTGGTGGAGCAGCTCCTCCCCTCCACCCCCATTTCGGTCAGGCCGGCCACTCCAGCAGGGATGCAGGGGGGCACCTCAGCCATGTGCAGGAGGGCATCAGGGGCCCCACGTTTGCAGGCGGGGTGGGCTGTCGAAGGAGGGAGAAGCCCAGAGGGGGGGCCTTCTCTGTGGGGGCCCCCCCACTCTGGAATACACTCCCAGAGGTTTGTCTGGCACAGACAACATGTTCTTTCCAGCATCAGGCAAAACCCTTTTTCCACCACTATTTTAATGCTGAATTGATTTTAACTGGAGTTCTAGTGGATTCATTGTCAGATGCTGAGGGGTTGCTTTATTCTACTCATGTTTCATATGCCAACCCAAGATGTCTGTCCTGGAGGAGGTAGAAAAGCTTTAAATAATAAATTATAGATAAAAGTAACGGGAATTGTTTTCAGTCAGCACACACCAGTTTAATCAATGAAGCCGCTGGATGAATAGACTGCTGCGTGTGTGGCGCCCGTGTGGCAGGATCCCAAGCGGATCAGCCAGCCAGGTCAGCACCCTGAGCTGCGCAATGGGGGGGCCATGACACCCTCTCCGATGAGGTTCTGCCCTGCGGGGCATTGCACTGGGGCCTCGCCCCCCTTGCACCACACTCATCCTGGCACTGCTGAACTCTGCACTGGGTCCTCAACAGCTGTTCAACGTAGCGTCTCCTTGGAAAGATCTTCCAGAAATGTCTCACTCTAAGGACTAGACCAGTGACGGCGAACCTTTTCGAGACTGAGTGCCCAAACTGCACCCAAAACTCACTTATTTATCGCAAAATGCCAACCCTGCAATAAAAGCTGAATACTGAGGTTTTACTTTAGAAAAAACAGCTCACAGCCAGTCCAAGCAAATATACATAGGTATCCCTGGCAGCGCACTGACCAGCCATACGAAACATGAGACAAGTCACAGCTAATGAGTCGTGGCTCATGACATCATCGCCTGGCGCTGCTTCTCTTTTCCGAGCTTGCACATGGCCCCTGTGTGTGCTGTGATCCGATGCTCGTGTTACCGGACTCAGCCAGTCAGCAGCTGGGGCAAACGCAGGTGGACCCCAGACCCAAGCCAAACAGCCTGAGACGAGACTTAGAGCCAAAACCAGCTTTATTCTAGTGCACTATAGAATAAAGGGAGACAAAAGGGGACATTCAGCCCAAAGCAGTGTCTCAAAAGTTGCACCCCGGTACCTGCGTTTCATACCCTAGGTAACCAATTAGGTCGCCTAATACACATCTAATGCATCGATACATCAACGTCTGCACCCCCTCCCGTGCTGGAGAAAGAGTCCTTTCTTCTGTCAAGGACCGGACATTTCCCATGTCTATTTCTTACCTGCTCAAGATTCACACAGGCTTGCCATGTTCTTACTCCCTGCACGTTTGCAACTTTCATGGCGGCCAAAACCAGCTTCCACTGTCCCTTTGATTACTGTATTTGAGGTCAGGCCAGCGTGTTAGCTGTGGGTTACACAACGTTCATTTTGCTCTTCTCTGCCCTCCCTTCTGGGACGGTATAACAGTGGTGTTTTTACTATGTGGCCTTCCTCTGGCCAATTACTTTTGGGGTGTTTGGGGTGTGGCAATTGGCAACACTCAGCTGCTGGGGCGATGCTGGGGCGCCTTGGCTCGCGTGCCGACAGAGAGGGCTCTGCGTACCCACTGCAGCACGCGGGCCATCGCTTGGCCACCACTGGACTAGACCGTCAAGAGAGCAGGGGACTCTTCCGAACGAGGCCGTGCGGATGCCCGTGTGCCTCTGCTCCCATGGCCAAAGGAGGGGCCAGAGCTCAGCGGCGGGGGCTGAAAGGTGCCCCACGGCTTGAGGCTCCCGCTACCCCAGCACAACAGGAGCACCCTGTTCCCCCTGCCGAGACTGAGCGCCCAGGCCTGAGTGCCCGGTGCCTCTTGGGAGGTCGGGACCCACATCACACAGGGAGGGGCGGCCCTGGGGCTGCCTGTGCAGAGAACGCCTCTTGCGTGTTCAAGACGACTTCCTCAAGTGGCGTTTGGCCTGGAGGACCGTCTGGAGAAGCGGTCCAGCCGGCCCCTCGTCCAGGGGCCTCTGCAGAGTTCAAATGGCTGAGCTTCCTGAAAAGGCCTCCTGTCCATCCAGTCTCCCTTGGGCAGCCCTTCTGGAAGGTCGTGTCAGAAATCTATGATCTGCCCATTGGAAAAACGGTGCGGAAACAATACAGGGATCCATGGCAAGTTCTTTTCAACTTGTATCTGCGCCAATTATTATCCCACTGGGTTTGGCAGCTGTAACACTCATTCATTCATTCATTTTAAAAGAAGTTTTATTTGAAATTATAATCCTAAAAAACCACTAAAAACAACATCCATCATCAAAACCATCGAGCCTGGTGTGTCAGCCCCCACACCCTTCTTTTTCCATTTCTGATAGCTTAAAAACATATTTAAATCTGTGCAAAGTCCCGTTTCTCTAGCCAATAATAAAAAGAGTCCCAAGTTTGATAGAAGTCAGTGTCTTCCTTCTCCTTCAATGATAAGGCCAATCTATCCATTTCTGCACAGTCCAGGATCCTTTTCAGAATCAGTTCGTCGGTGGGTAGTTCTTCACTTTCCAAGTGTTGAGCAAATGCAATCCTCGCCACAGTGATTACATGTAAAATCAAATACATTTCTTGTTTACTAACATCCTCCAGTCTAATGCCTAATAAAAAAAATCCAGGTTTAAACGCTAAAGGTTTTTGTAACATTTCCTCAAGCCATTTATGTATTTTAATCCAATACTTTTTCACGATATTGCAAGTCCACTACATACGATAAAAAGTACCCAATTTATGTTTACATTTCCAACATCAATTTGACATATTCGGAAACATCTTAGCTAGTCTATTTGGCGACAGATACCATCTATAAAACATTTTATACAAGCTTTCTTTATACAAGTTGCTAATGTTACCTTAGTATTTCTCTCCCATAGCTTTTGCCACTTTTCTAATTCAATTTTATATCCAAAATTTTTTGCCCACGCAATCATGGTTTCCTTAACCTGTTTGTCTTCCATTTTCAAGTAAAAAGAAATATAATCTTTTAATAATTTTCTCATCTGACTTAAGCATCACTTGATGAAACGCTGTTAAGTCCTTATAAGAACCCCACGCCATCCCATTATGAGAATCTCAAGATGGTTTAAAACAAGCACAGATAAAAATGGCACAGCATCCAGCAATTCACAATAAAATTAGAAAGAAAACCAATTAAGGATTAAAATAATGGGAGAATGAAAAGGCTTTCGCCTGGCGCCAAAAAGAAAGAAGCCTTGGCGCCCAGCAAACCTCTCTGGGGAGCCTAGTCCACAATGGGGCGCCACCACAGAGGAGGCCCTCCCCCAGTCAATCTCTAATCTCTTTCAAGGAGGCCTCCCCAAGAAGGACCTCTGCCCCAGATGGCAGAGGGTGGGCGGGCCTGTAGGGGAGAAAGCGCTCTTGCCGGTATCCGGGACCAAGCCATTTCTGGGGCATCACCAGCGCCTTCCATTGGCCTGGACTTCAATCGGCAGCCAGTGCAAGCAGGAGAGGACTGGCTCCGCATGGGAATGCCGGTCCCTCTGAATATCCCGGCTGCTCTATTCCGAACCAGCTGGAGTATCCGAATCCTCGTCAAGGGCCGCCCCACGCAGAGTGTGTTACAACAATCCGGTCGGGAATTGAGGCCGGGGTAATCGCTGTCACAGACTGCTGGCTGCATCCCAGGGCATTTCTTTGGAATCAGAAAGTCCAAGATGGAATTGGGGAGGATGGGCTAGCTCAAGGTGGCCAGATGGAGGAGGATGAGGCAGAGGCAGAGGCGGGAAGCCCAACTGAATGAGCAGCGAGTGGAGAGAAGCACCCCCCCCCCGTGGGGATGGGACCCTCCTCTTCATAAGGAGAGTTGCTAGAGGTAAACACCAGAGTGGGCTCCAGAAACTGCTCTGTGCATGCTCAGAGATCCTTTCTGTGTGGTTTGAACTCATTCATTTATTCTTAATGCATGTACAAAAATAGTTAAGTAAATGTAAAATGCATTTAACTAAGAAAGTGTCCTGTTACATCTTCTCACCATCTGTACAAGTCTTCACAGCAAGTAACAAGAAAAATGTTGCCATCTCAGTCTCAACACATTAATAGATCTGTTGGTTGCAACTCCTTTGAGGTTTATCCCATGTGTGAATTATTTGGTTATTTATGTCAGATTTCCAACAAAATGAACCACTTTAAACTTTCTTCCCTGTATGAAGTCTTTGATGAGGATTAAGTGTTACCATCTGAGAACTGCTCTTTCTACACTCCAAGCATTTATATGGTTTTTCTCCAATGTGAATTCTTTGATGGGAAATCAGACTCCTCACTGGAGCTATTTGGACACAGCAAACAATGGTATACATTCTCCCCAGTGTCAGTTCCTTAATGTGAATGAATATATCTCTTCTGACTGAAGGTCTTTGAACACTTCAAACACTGATAAGGCTTCTCCCCAGTGTGAATTCTTTGATGAGAAGTGAGATGTGTCTTCCAATTGAAGCTCTTTGCACACTTCAAACACTGATATGGCTTCTCCCCAGTGTGAATTCTTTGATGAGAAGTGAGACCTGTCTTCCAATTGAAGCTCTTTGCACACTTCAAACACTGATATGGCTTCTCCCCTGTGTGAATTCTTTGATGAGAAGTGAGATGTGTCTTCCGACTGAAGCTCTTTGCACACTTCAAACACTGATATGGCTTCTCCCCAGTGTGAATTCTTTGATGAAGATTGAAATCACTCTTCCACCTGAAGCTCTTTGGACATTCCAAACACTGATAAGGCTTCTCCCCAGTGTGAATTCTTTGATGCCGAGTGAGGTGCGTCTTCCAATTGAAGCTCTTTGCACACTTCAAACACTGATACGGCTTCTCCCCAGTGTGAATTCTTTGATGCCGAGTGAGGTGCATCTTCCAATTGAAGCTCTTTGCACACTTCAAACACTGATATGGCTTCTCCCCTGTGTGAATTCTTTGATGAGAAGTGAGATCTGTCTTCTGACGGAAGCTCTTTGCACACTTCAAACACTGATATGGCTTCTCCCCAGTGTGAATTCTTTGATGAAGATTGAAATCACTCTTCCACCTGAAGCTCTTTGGACATTCCAAACACTGATAAGACTTCTCCCCAGTGTGAATTCTTTGATGCCGAGTGAGGTGCGTCTTCCAATTGAAGCTCTTTGCACACTTCAAACACTGATATGGCTTCTCCCCTGTGTGAATTCTTTGATGAGAAGTGAGATCTGTCTTCTGACGGAAGCTCTTTGCACACTTCAAACACTGATATGGCTTCTCCCCAGTGTGAATTCTTTGATGAAGATTGAAATTACTCTTCCACCTGAAGCTCTTTGGACACTCCAAACACTGATATGGCTTCTCCCCAGTGTGAATTCTTTGATGCCGAGTGAGGTGCGTCTTCCAATTGAAGCTCTTTGCACACTTCAAACACTGATATGGCTTCTCCCCTGTGTGAATTCTTTGATGAAGATTGAAATCACTCTTCCACCTGAAGCTCTTTGGACATTCCAAACACTGATAAGGCTTCTCCCCAGTGTGAATTCTTTGATGCCGAGTGAGGTGCGTCTTCCAATTGAAGCTCTTTGCACACTTCAAACACTGATACGGCTTCTCCCCAGTGTGAATTCTTTGATGCCGAGTGAGGTGCGTCGTCCAATTGAAGCTCTTTGCACACTTCAAACACTGATATGGCTTCTCCCCTGTGTGAATTCTTTGATGAGAAGTGAGATCTGTCTTCCGACGGAAGCTCTTTGCACACTTCAAACACTGATATGGCTTCTCCCCAGTGTGAATTCTTTGATGAAGATTGAAATTACTCTTCCACCTGAAGCTCTTTGCACACTTCAAACACTGATACGGCTTCTCCCCAGTGTGAATTCTTTGATGCCGAGTGAGGTGCATCTTCCAATTGAAGCTCTTTGCACACTTCAAACACTGATATGGCTTCTCCCCTGTGTGAATTCTTTGATGAGAAGTGAGATATGTCTTCCGACTGAAGCTCTTTGCACACTTCAAACACTGATATGGCCTCTCCCCTGTGTGAATTCTTTGATGAGAAGTGAGAGATGTCTTCCGACTGAAGCTCTTTGCACACTTCAAACACTGATAAGGCTTCTCCCCAGTGTGAATTCTTTGATGCCGAGTGAGGTGCGTCTTCCAATTGAAGCTCTTTGCACACTTCAAACACTGATATGGCTTCTCCCCTGTGTGAATTCTTTGATGAGAAATGAGATGTGTCTTCCGACTGAAGCTCTTTGCACACTTCAAACACTGATATGGCTTCCCCCCTATGTGAATTCTTTGATGGTAAATCATCTTTGCCTTCTCAGTGAAGTTCTTTCCACACGCCATACATTTATACGATTTATTCTGTGTTTGAAGTTTGCTGTGCGCTTTACTGTTTGATTCAGAACCGTATGTTCTCTTGTTCACATGGTCTGCGTTCTTTTCTTGTTCAGTGTGTACCTCTTCCTGGATTGTGTTCTGGCCGCCATTGCCCTGCAGAGCAAGGCAATCATTCCTCCCATTATGATTACCTTCAGTCTTCCTTCTTTGCTGGTCACTAGTTTTCCTTCTGTCTCTTTCCAGTGACATCCCATGTAGTTCTCTCCTATCCTCCTCTTCCCACCTGTCACCTCCTGGAACGAGAGCAATAATTTGGAAGAAGCCCATGTTAGCAGCAGAAGGTCAAATAGCAGAGCACACTCAGTACTGACTGCAATGAAGGGAAGAACCGGAAGGACTTTGATGGGATGCTGCTCTTAGAATGGGCTGAACTGCCTTAACGGACTCTCTGTGTTGCACAACAAACATTGCTGGGACTGTGTAGACCCAGGTTCAGCTTGGCAGGCAAACACTCGTGGGATCATAGACACCTGTGGCATCTCTGCAAGCAGGAATCTTCCCAAGCTAATTCCATGGCCAGTCACCTATGAAAACAGGAATTTCTTCCTTACATGAAACATGATGCCTTGAGTATCCACACTTCACTTAGGGAGCAGCTTGCCAGATTTTACTTTTAAGATGATTCTGGCATGCCGTTGTCTGGGCCCCACTGATTTCAGGCCCTACAGCTTCAGACATTGCCTGGAAATCTTGCTGTAACTCCCTGAGAGCAGTTCCATTCGTAGCTGTTGGTCCAGGATTACCCCAGTTCTGGGTTACCAAAACACTTGGGTCCCCTGACTACTTTTTGGCGCATGGCCATTCCCCAAGTACTGTTGCTTTCAGACAGAAAGAACAGAACTCTTCCCCATCCCTCCACCTTAGAGCAAAGCAGGGTGTGATTTGGGGATGTACATATTTGTGAGGAGAGGCTGCAGCTGTGTGAGACTCGCAGGGACACAGCTGAGCCTGAGTTCTGCAAGGAGCTGCACTTTTGGATTCTGTGATGGGTTAACCTTGCGTTCCTATTTGTGGCGGTTCCCAGGGTTTCCTGCTGACTTGAGGGCAGGATGCAGGCCGCTGTTCTGATTCTCTTGACGCTCCTGAGGGTGAGCTCCCATGTGCACCTTTGTTGAGGGGAAGGCAGGTCAATAAGCGTTTTGCTTTCTTGCATGCCATCACACGATCCCCGGCTTATAGCAGTCCCATGAGCGAGAATCCTGTGCTTCACAGCCATATGCAGGCCTGGTAAATTCCAGGATTTGATCATAAAACTTGATTCTCTCGTTTTTAAACACTGTATTGTGAGGGCTAGGCCCCAACATATAAAATAAAAAAACTAGGATATGGGCCAGAAACTGTAATCTTGTCTTGCTTATCATGCTGGCAGTTGCAACCAAGTATTATCCCTTAGCAGAAATACAGGAAGCCTTACCGAGAGAGGCCACAGTCCTGCGATTCTCCTCCATGATCTGGCTGTGCAGGGCTCTCTGGCCAGCATCCAGCAGGGCCCACTCCTCCTTCGTGAAGCACACGGCGACCTCCTCAAGTGTCACCAGAGCCTGCATGAAGAAAGGAAAGGTTTTGTTATCCAGGTCACATGCTACAGCGGCTGGGCATTATACTGCAGGGCTGAAACTCCCTTGCTCAGGAAGCAGCAGCCAAAAGGATCCTTCTCCCCCTCCTCCTTGCGTGCCTCCCAAGAGGCATCTGGGCAGCCGCTGTGAGATGAGCGGTCCCTACACTGGACAGGCCTTTGCTCCTGTCCCACAGGTCTCCCTCTCTGATGATAGTTTTGCCAGAAGAAGAGAAAAACAGAGCGATTACATGGAATCGGCTCCCCAAAGAATTTTGCCTTGTGCCTTCTCTCTGTTCTTTGCAGCATCAGGCAAAAAACTTTTTAATTTCCCAATTACTTTTGTTCAGGATATTTTAAAAATTTCAACGGTATTAATGATACCGAAGTGCAGCTGTGCCACTGTATTGTGTGTTTTTATTGGTTTAATAATTTATGATACTATGTGGTTTTATTGTAGGGCTTTTTCTGTATGATTGTTACAATTTTACAGTAATATTTGCTAATATTATTGTTCTATTACGTATATTGTCACTATTGTTTAATTATATTTAGTAAACCATAAAGAGAGCCAGTTTGGCTTTATGAAGGACAGAAATCTAATGAATAATAAATATATGCCCCCTAGAAGGGGAGCAGAGAATTGGAGTGTGCCGCTGGTTGCTGCCTCTCTCCTAAGAGAAACTTTCCCTTACCTGATCCAGTTTCACTCCTTCTTGAAGAAAAAGAGATGGATGGGTATCCATTGTTGCCAACATGCCTGCTCCAAGGAAAGACAAAAGAGATGGGAAGCTTGTAGGAGACTGAGAGGATAATCCTGAACTTGTGGGAAGGCACCCCCGGAAGACAAGACATAGAAACATAGAAACACAGAAACAGAGCGAGTCAGAAGGCTTCTCCCAGGCTGTCTAGTCGGACCCTCGGCTCCAGCTTGCTCTGGTCATGACATGCCCACCAAGAGAACCGACTGTCCAGCTGAATGCACAGAATTGCTCTGCAAGAAATGGATGTCTAGGTGCACATGAGTATTACAGGATTTGCACTTTTAGAATTCAGGGTGGTAGAAAATGCATAGTTATCCATTTGGGCTCATAGACAAAAGTCAAACGGTCGTTGGACCGTATGCAGTCCCCACGGGTTCAAAATTAGATACAGATTTGAATAGCGGAAAAGCAGGGACCAAATTCTGACCCACAAAAGCCACACATGCACACTGAACTGGCGATTGCAAAGGCCACCACCGTAGTAATCCTTACCCTGAAGGGAGAGGCACCCGTCTCGCTTCCGCTTGATCTCAGTTTGGGGTGGACGCAGTTCGGTGCCTGAGACAGCTCTCTCTGCTGCAGGGAAATCAGGTCCCGCTTCTACAAACAGATTCTTCACCTGGAATAGCAGCATAAATCCAAGATGTGGAATGAGGAGAAGAATTAGAAAAGGCGAGAGA